TATGCAGCAGAAAAGATGTAGTTTGACATTGTCCCTTAGGTTCTACAGTTATCAGCAATACCTCTAATCTCAGGAAATGAACTAGCTATTAGATCTGTTTGTACTTTTTAGGGTTAAAGGTTAAACTGAACTGATCTTTCTGGCAAGTCTGAAGTTTAACAAGCTATTGGTGTTAAACAAAACAGAGTTAAGTCACTGTGGAAGAACGGCACAACCAAAATGCACTATTAAAAGTATAGTTAAACTAAAACTATGTAGCAGGGTGAGCCAAACCTTAGCGAACAGATAAAAGGAGGATTTGAGAAGAGGTCCAGGCCGCTACAAACTCAATAGAAAAGCCCCAGATGCTGTGTAAGCTCCTTCATGTTCCTGTACCACACCACTTGGTCAACGTTACCTAATGACCGGCTGCATCCGTGCAACAATTTTAACGCCTGTGCAGTAGTTCAGCTGCCAGAACAGCCGTTTAACACGTTAAACGTAACGGATAACGTTACTGTTGTTTAACGCTGAAATATGAGACTTTGACAACTTCAATTTGAGAGGCGAACAATCGCTAAGTAATGCGACACAAACACTTAATTAGTCAAAAGCCGTGAGTTTCTTGTACTGATCAGGTGGCTGGTTGTATTGTTAGAAGCAACGCTCATTATGCATATTAACCGACGGATCCATTAGCCCAGCGTTGATGGTTAACGTTACTTACTATAGTCTCCCGGACACGGTTGTGGAAAAGTTGCTCTCTAACCGACACGTCGTCTGTTTCCATTCTCCGAAACCATAACAGTGTCCTCAGGCTTAAAAGCGCTGGAGGGAAAATGGCTTAAAAAGTTAAAACACGGGGCATCTTCTTAAAAATGTCGTGGGTGTAGCTGGCTAGCCTGGCTGCATTTAAACGACGGCGCTAGCCTGCTCCTACACTCTGATATAAAGAAAACCGCAGGAGGAGGGGTCGGGTGGGGGCGGGGCGGGGCTACACAGAGGGGCGGAAGCCTGGAGAGCGCTACAGGTGGCTGTCAATCATCGCTATAATTAATAGTTGAGAGTCATTATCATATTTATGTTATTCATATCCAAAGGTGTGTGTACATACTAAAAATACCAGACAGGCCAATGAAATGGTACAATGTCCATGTACGTTGGGATGTGCACATGCATCATGGTTGTTGAAAAGTGCTCTATAAATAAAGATTATTATATTATTATTTAATTTCAAGTGTCATTTAAACTGGGGATGCTGGGGAAATTTCCCCACCACTTTTGGAAATGGCTGATTTTGCCCCCGTTAATTTTTTAAAGTGAAAAACAGCAGGAATAAACTTTAAATAACAAATGAAAATGCTTGCAAAATATGCAATGCAATTTAAATATGGAAGAAACAAATGTGTAATGTCCAAAAAAAGTAACTTAAGATAAAAAAAAGATGCATTATATTTTTATATTTTTAAATGTCACCTGCCTGTCACCTGAATTTTCTGTTTCTCTTAATATAAATAAAGACATTTACACCATAAATTGGTGCAGAAAATGTTTTCAAAATGCAGTAAGTTAAGAGTATAATGTGTCATGGAAATTTGTATATTGCTGGTGAGGGATTAAGCAAATAATTGAGTAACAACCAACCATTGTCTCTGAAGAATTTATCAATAAAAAGAGAATGACAGAGAAGTACTACAATAGAAAATGAGCTGGTCCAGAGACCTGCTGCCTATAGGGCAGCTTCGGGGCATCTAGCCCAGAGCAAAGGGATGCATAATCATTTACACAGTCTAGATTTCTATGTTTTGGGGAACAGAGGCCTTGAATGTTCATTCATTGTTCATTCAAGGCCGGTAGAGGAACAGCAAGTAAGGAAAACACTAAAACAATATCACAGCTCTGACCTAAACCCTAGTAAATGTGGACAGACTAACATAATGAGTATAGAAGAAGGAAAAGTTAAGGATAGAAACAATATATACCTTTCAGACATAACAACAAAAATAATAATAATAATGTAGAATGAATATAGGGATGCACATCTCTTGGTGAAGTGGTACACACTTAAAACACTAGTTTTAAAATTATTTCCGCATTTCCTTTCTTAACATTTCCCCTGAAGTAACATGTTTGGGATTTTTGAAGTGGTGCTGTATGAGGTATTTATCCATAGTCAGTGTAGGCCTATTACCTGCAGTAGACTGCGGTTAGCATTTCCTTTGCTTTTTGGACACAGGTCAATCTGTCTGCATAATGAGTACCTTTACCTTTGATACTTCTAGTACAGTTTCCTCATAACACTTGTACTTTTTCAAAGCAAGACTTTTAAAGGTAAATTAATATTTTACACAGTAGTATTGCTACTTCACTTACTGTACATAAAGAACCTGAATAATTCTTCTATCCCTTGTTTTCACATCGTTTTCAGTTTGGTATTTCTATTATATTTATTGGCATTGTTGTAGCACAAATGTACTTTGTTATGGCTCTATGTTTGTTCTATTTTAAAAGGTTTGCAGAACAAATAAGGTACTCTTTGAAGCATTTACATCAGTGTCCTATCTCTCACAAATGTCCCATTAAGACCTTTTCCTCACCATATCAGTTCAAACGATCAAGGGGACTTAATGTTGAAGCACATCGTGTGTTGACGCCAAAGCATAATTTTAATGTCATGATCCAAAGTCCAACTATTGCAACAGCATGCACCAACTTCAACTACAGAAAAGGACAGGAAAGGATTTATCGGGATAAGGATTGAAATTATGGAAAGTAAGTAACCAGTTATTATTAGACAAAAACAGTATTTTAAAAAGTATATAAATTGAAAGGTTAGTCTGATATAGCCTGTTGGAATAACTGTAGATTGGACTAATCAGAAAGGTTTGTTGCCTAGCAAATCAATTTCTGACTTTTTGCACAATGTAATGCACATGTAAAAACTTGATCAGCTACAACCTGATATGTTTTTGGATCACATAATGACTTAAAATGACAATGCCCAGCATGAGCTCAAATAAATCCCTCTTATATAATATATTATTTAACCAGGCGAGTGGATCACAGAGATTAATCCCTTTGAGTGTCCCGGCAAACATACCAGCCGCACACATCATAGAGAAAACATACCAAAATGTATAACACAGCGTAAACAGGATAAAATAATCCAAAGACACTGTCAGTCTCTAAATTATAATTGATATTTATATACTATAGTTTTCACATAGTTTTGTTTAGAGGTACGACTAAACTCTTGTGTTTCCTCATTGCAGGTACTAATACTCACTTGTACAGGGACTGATCCCTGAGGCCAAAGGATGGCAAAAAGTGTAATGGTAGCCTATGCCCTGTGGGCATTAGGTGGGCCTTTGGGCCTTCACCATTTATATTTAAGAAGAGACAGCCATGCTCTGTTATGGATGCTAACCCTGGGTGGATTTGGATTTGGCTGGGTCAGAGAGTTCATACGCATTCCTGCATATGTTGGCGAGGCCAATCAAGATGCAGAGAAAGAGAGAAAAAGACCCCACACCATGGGCCCTCCATCTGTAGGTCCTGTCAGATTTGCTGGACAGGTGTGTGTTGGGATCTACTTTGGCACTGTGGCTCTGATAGGCCTGAACTCCCTCCATTTCTTCTACTTGATTGTGCTGCCTTTATGTGTGGGTGCAGGGGTACATCTGGTGTCCAGTGTTGGCCAGCAGACCTCTGATCTCCATAAAATTTTGACCGCCTGTCTCATAACCTCCCCAATATTCTACGGCAGCACCTTATCACCTCTTCCTATAAGCCTGGCCGCCAGTGTCACTGCTGCACAGCACCGCAGGTTCAAACCTCCACAGACACCTGGGAGTAAACAGGAACTGGGTAAGATGACCTCACAAATATGACAATATCATACCTTGATAACAATGCTTCTCTCTGACATTTAAGGCCTTCTAAAATTACATTTATTTCTATCTTTTGTCCAGTTCCACGACTTTACAGGCTCGGCCTAGCCTGGCTGGCCTTCTCTGCCCCGCTGGGTTACTGTATTTTCCATAACACCACAGCAACACTGTACTACCTTTCTGACTGCGTAGCAGCACTGCTGGATTTTTTCTGGTTTCTGCCATGGCTCAGAAGTGTGTTGGAGTACATTCTTTTAATGCCATATCGGTTCTTGTGTTTTCTTACTGGCGGAGGGTACTATGAAGAGGCTTGGAAGAAGGTGCTGGAAATACTCCTCAAAGAGTACACCGAGGGAGAAAAAGAGGCACTGCGAGTGAGCAATCTCATAACTCTGGAAGGTCTAGTGACAAGTTAAGACAGTTGTAGTTGGAGATAGGTAGCCTACGGTTTGTTGTTCTGGTATAATTTTCAAAATGAGTGGATATGTTTGTGTTGCAGGTATTGTCACTGGAAGTAGAGGCATCTCTTGAAGAGATAACACGCAGCTATAAGGAGCTGGCCAAGACATGGCATCCAGACCACAATCCCAGCAAGGATGCTGAGGCAATGTTCGTGAAGATCCACGAGGCTTATGAGGTCCTTCTACGACGGCACAGACCTCATCGATTCAAATAGTTGCCCTTCATTCTTCACTGAGTGGGGTGAATAGTTGCGAGGGCACAGTAGGACTCTTGATGGCATTGTTTTTCAGTTATTATTACCTTGTATTTGTTCACGGAACATGAATCAAGAGCAGCGTAGACACTTGGATTGTGTTGACAGCCGTCTGTTTGGTTACTTGGCAGAGTTGGTGTCAAACAGCAGTTTGCTGCCACCTTGTGGTGATATCGATGTAATTTCACCATAAACTATTTCATCAAAACAATTGAATTAATGTTTTAATGTGTGCTTTCTTGCTATTAAACGCTTAAGCACTGCCAGTGACATTTCCTGTAATTTCGAAGCATGAATACAAAAATGTATAGGCCATTAGGCTAACTGAATTATGTAAGTTAGGCTAATAGCCTACATGTAGGCCTATAGACAGACGACAAAGAGAAAGATAGGCTACAATGTAAAATAACCCGCCTACTCCATTCTTCTCTGGCACTTCCGGAAGAGCTCTTGATCATCAACAGTGTCTGAATTTTCAATGAATCATTTTACTAAATCTAGCAGGCTTACGGACCAGCTTGTAGCCAGAATTTCTTAAGACAGATATTCATCCGCAGCAGTCTGTAGTCTGGTGATGAGCCTATGAGTTCTTGTAGGCTAATGTTTAACATTTCCCCACATTTTTGCCACCTGTACCCGGAGCTGACACGCATCGATGCATTCGGCAATCACTGAATCAGGAGCTCTGTTGCACAATTATTCGGTCTGTATCCCAGCATGGGCCCGGAAGTTGTTTGGGATTCCCAGGTAAAAAAAATAAATAAAAAAAAATCCCGGAGATGCTGTCGTCGCCTGGGAAAACAAACAGCTATCCAGACAGTTAAAAAAGGAAAACACCGATCGGTCGCCAGGTAAGGAAGAGGCTCGTGGACTTCACTGCGGCGCTTGGTAAGACAATCCATCGGTTTTAATTAGGAAGTACGGCATGTTTTTGAGTAGTTGGTAGGGTGAATGCCATTTGTCGTGTGGTCGGGTGCCATAGCAACGGCTCATGAGAAACATTGTGTAGCTCGGTCCAGTTTGACGTGCTCGATTTTTGGATGACAGCTGCGTTCATGCGGACAATTTGGACAGCGGCAACTCTTGCAACAAAATTGCCGTTGTGTCTCGATCGCTGTCTCGGCCGTCCATGAGCCGATCGGTGCCATAACGGACCAGATCCACCAAGCAGCTAAAACAAGTACTAGTTGTCGCGGGTATAGGATATATACGGAGACGCATGATAGTTATTTGAAAATGTAACGCTGTATGTTTTACTGCACAGTCGCCCATGTCGGGCAGAAAGGATTTTTTTTTTTTTTAAATCGCCGTGCCCTGGTGTGACTGGCGCGTCTCCCGGCTGCATCAGCGCCTGTTGCTCCCTATGCGCGGCCAATGCCAGGATATTAATTTTCCCTTTTCCCTGCGATGTGTTGTCTCCGCACACCCCCTCCCTTCCCCTCCGTTCGCTCCACATTCTGCTCTGTCCATTGTTGTCATCCATTTGAGCAAAAGGTGCAGCACTACATCTGGGTCTGTTTGTCTCCCCCTCTCTTTGCTTTTAAATGAAACTGAATAGAGCATCACCTTAACATGGTCACATAAAATCAACATGAGCCTATTGTATGTGTGCACATGTTGTAACTCAGGACCGACAGTGTTGGAGATTGGTGTGGTGCACATACCTCACTTTGTTGTCTGCTGTGGAGTGACTGTACCATGTCACCTACAGTAAATTTCCCGCATTATTTATTATAAGCCTAGCGAATTGCACAGAGAGGGTTGACAAAATGAACTACAGCAAGTTAATATAACCTACAAACTTAATCTCAAGTGTATAATTACATAATTATTCAATATTATACGATTTGTGAGATTTTAAAGTTTTGTTATTTTACTAATTTGCCTTTTATGTAAGTTTTTTATTTGTGTTTCCTGGTGCCTTGGAACTTTTTATTTCGGTTATATTGTAAATGAGCTCTCTACCTAATATTATTTTCGAGTTAAAATAAAGGTTGATTGAATATGGATTATCAGAAAATTGTCCTAATGCTTATACACACACTGGTGTCCTAATGCAGGCTATATATAAAGCTTTTTAATTTAGATTTTTTTTAAATCTGTATATAGTATTATATAGTGTTTTCTTCTTCTGCTGCTGTAATGATACACTTCTCGGATCTAGTAAGTTGATCTCATGTTAATATTGAATTTTGTTGATATTACTTCAAAGCTTCAAATCAAGGGTGTAGTTTTTGGGGATGTTGCACTAGATTGCTTTATAGTGTAAGGTGTTCCAGCTGTTTTGTCCAACCCCAGTAGTTTTAACTCCACCTCCAAAGCCATTAGCTTTTATATAAATGTTGAGCCTCTCATATTTATTTGCTGGCCACTGTGCAGAAGAATCTACATGATACAGAAATAGCAGGGCAAAATCCAAGTTTAGTAGTTTATTACAGCAAACTTATTATTAGACATTTGGAACTGAAAGCAGAAAGCTATCTGTTATTATTCTTGTACCAACAAACAGCTGGTAAGTATATTTTATATGCTTTGTATCAAAGGTTTTATATGCAGTTTTCATGTGACTAAGATTTGGAAAATTTAATCTTTTCTAATATGATCATTATGAATGGGGAAAAAGTTAGTATCTGTTTTTATATCATATTTCTGTAGGCATCTGGTGAGAGAATGAATGCTGATGACTGCAATGGACGCTTATATGCACAAGGTAAGTTTATACAAAGGAAAAAAACTACTATACATATGTGTGTACAGTCTCCAGATATAAATGTTTACTTTAAAAGCATGGGCATATTTGTGTTTCAGGTAATGGAGGAGAGACATCACTGGAACAGGATTTTCATGGCGGATTGCAGGGTCCTTCAGCAAAATCTCCAAACAGTCAGCAGTCCTCGCCACACCGCTCCCTTAGTGGTCAGTTATTCCTCCCTTAGTTTCATTGTGGCCCCCTGATCTGTATGGAATTGTTAATTTAAATGATGTGTGAAAAATAATAAATGTGCTTTCCCCTCTTCCTCTCGCTACACAGCAAACTCCATCAAGGTTGAGCTGTGCAGTGACGATGAGTCACCAGGTGCTCCACAGCCAGAGAACAGAGAGGCTGTGAGGGACGATAGCAGGAGGGATGACAGAGGGGACCTCACGGAAGAAGGGGGCACAGAGTACACTGGGGCTAGAAGAGACAGAACGAGTATTTACAATGAGATGGCCCGTCCAAACGCTGCTTCACCAGGACCCATCCGGCTGCCAAATGGGAAGCTCCAGTGTGAGGTGTGCGGGATGATCTGCATCGGACCCAACGTGCTGATGGTCCACAAGCGTAGCCACACAGGTGAGAACAAGCCAGCAAGGCAGTGGTCATGACAATGCAAGACAAGTATTATGGACAAAATGTATTATTACCCTAAATGTGAGTAAATAAAGGCAATGATTCAAATGATTTACCTCTAAAATCCTCTGTCCATCCATGTTAGGGGTCGACCAATAATCGGCCTGGCCGATTATCGCCGTCGATATACAGCATTTGTCCAATAATTTGAAACGCTCTTTTTAATATTAGTTTGCTGTATCAATAAATGTATCAATAAAACCCCTAACAATGTAAAATAAATACAATATGGCAGCAGGTAAAGATTAAGTTTATGATAATTTATCACTCATAGTTAACAAGTCCATCTCTGGGGAGATGGGATTGTTAGACCATTTTTGATATGCAAGAATGTTGCTTTGCAGCTATGACACACCGTGTCCTTGTCCTTATGCATTTAATTTTCCATTTATAAAGGTTAAACATAACAATTAACTTTAATCTTGTTATTTGATAAGATACGCTTAAAGCCATTTCAGCAAAGTTCTGTGTTGGAGTTCGTGTTATTCTAAATTTTGACACCTATATTAAAATTTTTACAGCAAATGTAAATCGGCTCCAAATATAGGTCATCAGTCTAATTGGTTACTAATAATCGGTATCAGCCCGGGAAAAAGATACATCGGTCGATCCCTAATCTATGTGCTCATAGGTGAGAGGCCTTTCCAGTGTAACCAGTGTGGAGCTTCCTTCACCCAGAAGGGGAACTTGTTGCGCCACATCAAGTTGCATTCGGGAGAGAAGCCTTTCAAATGTCCCATTTGCAACTACGCTTGTCGCCGGAGAGATGCCCTGGCTGGACATCTACGCACACATGCAGGTAAAATCAGTGAACACATTAAACATACGCCATGAAGAGATTTTTCATAAATGTGCCTATTCTGTTATTGAACTTGACAGATACAGTTGTTTCAATAGCAATATTATTCCTTATTATGATGAGGCATATTGCATGAAACAACAGTATGCATTAACTGGGTATTCATTAGAACTGTCCCTTTCCCCCCTCTGTGAAGCTCAGGAAATCGGCCTTTTTTACCAGGATGTACTGTAAAACATGTGACTAAATATGACATTTAACATTTTTATGAAAACAGGAAATCCTGTTGAACACACACATTCAACAGGTGTTCAACAAATACATACTTGGTATAGCAGGTCTGGATCTCCGCGGGTCTCAGAGGCTGATTTTCGAAGAAAAGCTTCATGCAAACTGGATTTCAGCGAATTGACGTCAGTCTTTCCGATAGCTTACGAAGATGAAACATTGCGGTGAAGAGTTAGGCGTTTTTTCTGTCATCACTGGCAAGGAACATAGTGGTCAATGGGAAAATCCGTCCTAGTTAATAATAAGTTCTTTTTTATTTAAAAATCCCCTCTAACAAACATATATAAACTATAGTAGATCCTGTTTCTCGTCCATTCAGTCAACAGTATCAATCGTCTAGGGAGGAGTTTTGTTAATCATGGAAGAATCAAGTTAAATAACTTTTTCTCTGAATTGCAGTTTCTTCTCCAACGGTGGGAAAACCTTTCAAATGCAGCTACTGTAGCCGCAGCTACAAGCAACAGAGCACACTGGAGGAACATCTAGAGCGCTGCCATAGTTATCTGAAGAGTCTGGACCACCAGACAGCCGTCAACACACAGACAACACAGGGTAACACAAACCAACTGACTTATAGACAATACGCCTGTACGTTTCTGAATTATTCTAAATGCAAATAGACTGGATTCAGCAAGTCATACATATTTACACACATAATGAGTTATTTGGCATGTTGATGACGAGGGGCTTTCTGTTCACAGGTGAAGAGTCACTAAATATGGAGACAATTACTAAACCTGTGCTCCAGCCATCCAATGAAAAAATCCAGTTAGTGGATAGACTGGCTATTAGCATCACCAAACGCAAGAGGTCAACCCCACAGAAGTTTTTGGGTGAGTTTTTTTTTTTTTTAATAAGACAAGCCATATTATTCATATATAGTGAGAGTATATAAATGTATTTATAACCTATTACACATGCACATTTTCTTTTCAATTTAAATTATACAATAATGATGATGTAGCTTCAGCTTGGTAAGGGGCTGATAAACTATAGAAATAATAAGAAAACTGGTCTGGCATTATAAAAACTGTTGCTCCATGAAAATGGACCAAATGGAGCAGACGAAGACAATTCAAGAGACCCTCCATCTTTATTATTGTCCTAGGTGAAAAGCACATGCGCCTTGACCTACCTGAAGCACCTTACGAATTGTCCTCTGGCTCTGAGAAGGAGGGGGACCTCATGAGCTCTCTGCCTGCTGGGGACTCTACCGGGTTGGCTGGTTCACATCTCCAAGGCGGCAGGGCCAAAGGGGAGAACCACGAGCCGCCTGCGCTCCATACTGCCTTCTTATCGGAGCTACGCACAGTTATAGGCTCCATCAACAGCAACATGACTCCTCAGGGCCTCCGAACCCATGGTGGAGGTGGGCCGATAGCAACTGGCTGGTCTGGGCGGGAGGCAGGTGAAGGCCGTGATGACCAACCCTCAGCTCATAGCCACGCCACCTCACCCAACGGCTGCCCCGACTCTACAGACACAGAGAGCACAGCAGAAGAGCAGAGCACAAGGGCTACAGCCCCAACAAGTACCTCCAACAACCACCACCTCCACTACCAAACCCTAGCACTGCCCCACAGCCATCCCACTTCCAGCCCCAGCCAGGCCAAAGACTTAGAAGCAGAGTGGGAGAGAGCATGTCCTGTACCCCCCACCATAGTAAAGAGGAGCCCTGGCTCACTCCTTTCTTCCAGGGAGACTGTGCAGGTGTTAGAAAGTGATGGCCGGCCTGTGCGCTCCTTCCACTGCCGGCACTGTCGCATCCTCTTCCTGGACCATGTCATGTTCACCATCCACATGGGTTGTCATGGCTTCCGCCAACCCTTCGAGTGCAACATCTGTGGCCACCGCAGCCAGGACCGCTACGAGTTTTCGTCTCACATCAGCCGCGGAGAGCATCAGGTGGGCTGAGGAGAGGGTATAGTGGTTCAGATGAGGAGAGGAGGTGATGGCTTCTCTCTCTCAATGTGGGCTCACGTTTGTTCTGCACCAGATAAGTTTGCTTTAAATCCGTAGTGTTAGTAAAAAGGATTTGTGGTTTTATTGTGAGAATATTTATTAAACTTAAGCAGGCGCGAGTGAAAAAAATATTTTCACTGCAACATTTAAAAGTTTAGTGGAGGCAAATTACATTCTATGATTGATTGCACTCCCATATCAAATCATCTGGCAAAACTGCTGGTTTTGCTTCAAAAGTGCCTTCTTTGGGGATTTCCTCTTTACTAAAAAATAAAAGACAGAAAAGAAAACCGGAGTGGAACTGGTGCTCAAAAATCTTGACTAGCCATCTTTTACTAAGTGATTTAGTTAGCACTTTTGAGAGCTAATGTGCACAGGCAGTTAAGAAAAGCATGTACATTTTAAGAATTATATTTGGTATGCTTCATATGCACTAAGAGCTTTGTTTTTGTGGTTGAAGAGGGGATTTTGTGTAGTGTGTCAGGTAAGCTTAAAATGCACTGAGAGCTTGTGCCTCTGGGTTTGGGAGGAGCTTTTGTCACAGACAAAGCACAGAAATGGACTGCCTTAACTCCTGCAGTGGTACGCTGCTGTAGGAATACATTGTTTACAGCATGGTTCGACAGTGTGTGAAGTCACCTCAGAAGAGAGAGTATGTGCAGCAGCACAGCGAGACTATCAGGACAAAAAAAAAAAAAAATCATGAAATTAACTTGAAAACATTCACCTGAGGGTGAAACAGGCGTTCAGGGCTCAGATGTTAAATAGGTTTTCGGATTTTAAAGTGAGCCTTAGAATACTGGTGCAGATCAGACCATGAGCTATGTAGTGTACAGTAAGAGCCTGACTGAGATGGCCCATGGGTGCTATACCTATACGGGATTGCACTTTTAGATTTCCTGCTTATATATGAACATCTTTGCCGAAGCACTTGATGGCTTTACACATTTCTTTTTGTGATTGTTCTACTGCACTGATAAATCGCATACTACTCACAATAACTGATCGTCTAATTTGCAACACCAGTGTGTGTTTTTGAACAGAGCCAGCCTTCTACAGAATCCCACAGCAGTGCACCGGTTCTGCATTTTGTGCTCAAGTTTGCTGCAATGTGTGACTGAGAATTCAACATCAGTTCAACTAAAACAATTCTTTTGCGGTTTTGCACTCAGCAGTTGAGGCTGAGATTTTGGACCTTTTTTTCGCATAATGTAAGAGAATTAACAAACTAATTATTTAAAAATGACTTAGCAAAATCAGTTTGGATCTGTTCAGTTATCACTTGTGATTATCTATTTAGTGTTGTTTGTTTCAGCCTTGGTGTATTTAATCAGCTATATTCCAAATCTTATCCAGCATATTCCTCAAGTCCATGAAATGTTACCTCCTGCTTCTTTATAGCACCCAAAAACCTTATTGCTACAGTATGGTGAGTTTTCTGATAACGTTAATATTGGGAACACGAATGAGACCAAACTCAGTATTCTTACTTGTTATTGTGGGTTTTGCTGCTTCACAGTTTTAACTTAATTTCCTTTAATTGCAGGCAAAAATATACTTGAAACTGTTTGAGAAAAAAAGTGATCGAAAAATGCACTTGGTTTGATAAGTAGAGAAGTGTGTGTGAATGGAAAATAGCATGTGTGCTTGTCGTTTTCTGCTTTTCCCTGAATTGTGAATTATTTTTTGAAATGTGAAGTACTTTCAAGAAGTGAAAATGAGGCATGGGTTTTTGTCTCCTTGTGTGGACTTTTAAATGTTATACGATATTTTGTGAATGATGTAACATGACAAAACACTTTACCTCAAAGTTAAAGATGTACAACTGCCTCATTACTGTATTTCAAAAAGTCATGTTGCTTACCAAGATGTTCTTGCAGTTACAAATGCGTGCCCCTCGATATTCTCAAAACTTTTTACTGTCAATAAAAGTTATGTTTATTGTAAAAGTGATTTTCTCTGGTTTGACTATGATGGTATCCACAGCTTTGTGAAGTTTCTCATTGAGTTTCTCACTGTCTCCTGAGTGGCAATACAAAAAAAAAACAATGCTAAATCATTGAGATATTTATTTATTTCACAAAAATAAGACATTTTAAATTCCATATCATACAGGCATTTGCAATGACTGATGGGAGATTACTCCATAGATACACTAATCAGACACTATTCCCTTAGCTGCGCTTTTACTACCAAAAAACTGCAGAATTACAGTTGGGTAGACAAATGATTTACACTAGTCCTTTAGATTTTTTATTTACATGGCTTTGTCCACCAGTTCATATACCAGTCATATTAGCATGTAAAGAATTGACATTCATGCTCTGGGTAGCTGCCTGTAATCTGTATCATATATGTAGTTAACCATAAGTGGAAGGTTTAACTCACGATTTAACAGAAGGTGCACAAATTCTAAACTTAAAGTATCTGCGCCACACATTTTTGCACCTTTTGGCCCAACAAAAATAATGTACGCGTTTGTCACAGTAGGGAATCACATGATTCAGTATAGCTTGATTGAGTAGCTGAAAAAACATGCAGTATTTAGAAAACATGTTATGCCGAGTGGATCTTCAGCATGGCGCAACTAGTTTTGATAATGACTTACCATTTAAAATGATAATTATTACATTTGGAAAAACTGATCTCGGACAAGACCATCTATCTGGATTGTGGTGTATAGGAAGATTAAATAATGTGAACATACAGCATGGATGTGAGAATCAGTTTTGGATGGTTTACACGTCCAGGACATTAGATTTTGCAAGATTAAAAGGAAAAACAATTACCAAAAAAAACATCAATAATTACATTCTGTCCTGTCCAGCATCTAAGAAGGGAGCCTCCAGTGTATTTATTTTGGATATTGTAAGAGAAGCCCAATCATTTGTTTTGTCTTGAAACTTCCAACTTTATTGTCCCCTAGGGGAATTTAGTCTTGCACAAAATGAATGCACCAAACACACACAGGCTTGAACAGAAAAGATAGTGAATACATAATATATCACAAATATGTAAAACAAATGCTCCCACACACACACAAACCAGACAAACTAGAGATATATTCATAAATAACCCTCTCATTCAACACCATGTTCATGTGTTCAGTATTTAAATTAATAAGGTATGAAATAATGAACATTTGTTTGTCAGTGGTGTAATAATTCTGATTAAAAGCATTTTCACATCCTTGTTTTCAATTAAATACAATTTTACATCTTAAATGAATTACAAATTTCCAATTAGTTCAGTGTTACAGAAAACAGATTTTGTAAGCCTCAATTTAAAAAGTTTAAAATATTGTATATACACACACACACACACACACACACGTGTCACTGTAATAGTATTTAACATTTTGTCACCGTTTAGACTCTTTAGTGAATGTTTACTGTGACTTATGAGACACAGATAAGCAGTTTCTTTTTTTTCTGAGAAACTCACATTGGAAATACAACAAAAGGAAAACAACAAACACTGAATGGGGCTTACCTGAAACTTAGACTGCCTTCACGTGACCTTTTATATGTGACAGGCTTTTGTTCTGTCTGTTGTTTCTGTTTTCCCCCTTCAGTGGAAATTCTGTTTTGGCTGCTCCCACATACATATTCCAGGTGCAATCAAAAAGTACACAAGTAAAGCAAACGCTGCAGTGAATGAAAACATTCAAATGTGCAAATAATTGCACCATATGTACAAAAATCACTGCATGATTAAATTGTGAGTGATTTAGTTAACTGCGATGAATAAAGTCAATCATCAGTAGAAACAGCAAATTCACTGTCTATATAAAAGTAAAATGTGTCTAGACAATGTATTCTATCTTACTTTGACAACACCCACCTAGCAAGGTGCAGACCAGTGTCTGAAGGCAAGACAACATGGCGTATTGAAGGAGAGGTCTACAAAGTGTTTTATTTTTGATAAACAAGGTATTCTGAAAATTTTCTCATCCTTGACTAAATGTGTAATTTAAAACCACTTCTTAATGCACTGCTTCTGTTTGGTTTTGCCACGCTAAGAAAAAATGTTTTCTTTAAAATGTTCAGAGGTTGAAAGTGGTCTCGAGGATTTGGCACAACTTGAGAAACGTGCGTACTTGCGGTAGGCTATATGCCGCTTTTACAATTCTGAGGAAATAATCTGCTTGCAATCCCTGTGTGAATATACTGAGTTTTAGTTGTGAATTTACAAAGAATTACCTACCCTCTGTGTTCAACAGGAAGCTTTCAGAAGGTATGCTCCTCTGATTTATGCTCTAATTTGTTTGTTTTTGCATGTTTTACCCAATTTACATTACTAAAACATTATTTTACAGATGTTTTATGCATCCTATTTTTAGTATAGCCATAGCTTTCTATTTATTTCTGTATGATGTGAAAATCAATCTTCTCCCCCCTTTACGTTGCAGTTTTTGATACTGCAGTGGAAAGCAAGGAATACTTTGAAAAGCCTTCCATCCAGTGCACTCTGTAGTGGGAAGCTCAAGACATCAGATAATTAAAGTTGGTTGACAAACAGAATTCAAAAGCTGTGTTGTTGGAAATCTTACCCAAAAGGAAAACAAGCAATCAATCCAAAACGGCATTCTCACGTTTGGGATGGTGGAACTTTTCTCCAGCACTTACATCAATACATCAAACCAGATGCTCAACTACGGTACATTGCCACACAATGATAATAACTTTGATTACAGAACTTTACCAGTGACAGATTACCTAACAATCAAATTAAAGTAGTGCTGAAATGATTAGTCAATTAATCGATTAGTGGATCACTAGAAAAACACAACAATTTTGATAATTATTTCATTTATGTCAAAACATTCACCATTTGAACTTGTCAAATGTTAGGATGTGCTGCTTCTCTCTGTTTTATATCATAAATTGAATATGGGGTTTGGACTGCTGGTTGGACAAAACAAGCATTCAGAAGATGTCACCAGGGTCTTGAAAATGACAATGGATGTTTTATTAACTAATAAAAATTGGATAATCAAAAAAACTATAGAATGATTCTTCTAGAATGCAAATGATTGGTGGTTGCAGACCTAAATTAGAGTCTCAGCAAAATGACCATCATCTGAAACAAGAGGCTGGTTAAGAGGTAAGCTACATATTAAACAATCTGGAAACCTATCATATGTTTTGGAAAAACAATAGTTTATAATGGGATTTAATGGGATGAACATGCAAAAACAGCAGCATGGCCCTTTAATTTCAAAAGGCTACTTAACTTCAGACAGTTAATTAGATGCGTTTTTTTTAATCTTCATTTTTGATCAATTAATATAGATTACATTGAATACAGGGAGTCAACCTTGCTCTGCAGAATGTTGCTGTGGTATCTACATTGATGCTGTGATTGTCCTTTCTGAGGGTGAATTTCATGTTACTCACAGGTGGTGGTAGCCTCATTGTTTTTGTTCGTTTGGGATACAGGGACGTTAACATATGACCCGATATCTTGTCACCAACGTTATATTAACAAACATTAACTAGTTACGTGTACACAGCTGCACATTATCGACCATGAAACCACCTACTCGGCTTTAAATTGGTCCTTACGTTTAATGTTTAATTTCCCCCCTCCACTTCTCCTTCTCCTTCTCCTTCTGCTCCATCTCCATCTTCGTTTTCTTCTTCTATTTTCTTCTGCCGGCTGGCACACAAGGAAATAGTGCATTGATTGCAGCCACCAGCTGGCATGGAGCACAGACTGTGGTAAGGAGGGAGGGATCATATCCGCCCAATCAACTTGTCTGAGTATTTCAATGAGATCATTTTGTCCATCTCTGAGTGACTGTATTTTAAAGGAATATGTCATGAGCTTGAATCTGAGCAGGATCCTGCCACAGACGTTAGAAACAGTAGGCTATGTTGAATCGATCTACCCAGGATCTGATACTTCCTCTGTTTTATAACTGCTTTCAGTAGGCTAACGTTACCTGTTGTATTTAACATTAACTAACGTTACGATAACTTTGTTCGACGGTCCAGGTTCGTTCCTAACATTACTTTGCTGTTGTCAACTAAACATTGTTTTTTTATTTAATTAATTATTACTAATTATTACTTATTTACTAATTTATTTAACTAATTGCCAAGTCTTTATTCAAATTAATTGTAATTAATTTATATTTACCAGCAGATTAACGTTAATCCTGTGCTGGTCATGAATATAAGGATTTCGCTAATGTTAACAGTTATAGTGAGGATAACGTTACTCTAAGCTAACGTTATGTTAGCGTTAGCTAACTTAAATTTTAAAAGCCATTATTTATAAATAAAATGTAACTGTTAGCTAAAAATAAAAATCAGCAGTGTAACGTTATCTGCCTTTGTAGCCTATGTGTTTGCCTCCTTCTGTATCAATAACAGGGGGGTTGCTCTTGCATGGCACAGAAGTTTGTTTTGCTTGAGCCAACATACAGTTTGTAATTTGAACCTTATTCCACTAGATGGGAGCCTTTTACAATGTCTAAGCTCCTTACAGGTCTGCACTGCTCTTTGGCGCTCACTTCTGTAGGAGGGAAAGTGTGTTGTCTTAAGGCAGCAATAAGTCACATCAGTGATACCTGTGAATACTCAGTAGTAAAAATACAAAATGACCATTTATGTTTTTAGCTTATACTTATACTATACTAGTGCAGGTTCTTGCTGCCTGTTTCCTCACACTCCACAGATTTTGGAGACTACTGTGCATTACTTTGTGAAACTGAAACATTTATAAAATCTTTAATTTATTAATTTTGAAATTGCTGATTGGCTCATTACTTAGCATTATTGTCTCAAGACGTTTTGGGGTTAAACTCCCAAAGGTCAGAGCCACCTTATAAGCTGTTAGAATAGGTCAAAAGCACAGTTTGAATTTCCCCAATGGGATACATTTCTCTTATCCTTATCATTCCTTCTCCAGGGTGTCAGAGGAGCATAGCAGGTCCTGTACAACCT